TGCTGACAGCCATGCCATTCCACACAGCAGCTGGTAAAGCAGAAGACATTGACCCCACTCTGAGCCACCATGCTGTGTTTGGAGAGCGCAAGCATTAGCAAGCCCGTGTGTGCGTGTGTTCAGATGTACTGCAAGTGCGTGTGCATACGTGTGTGTGTGTGTCGATAGACGCACGTGTGTGTGTGTGTGTGTGCATACAGCTCCATCTCTATTGATCTATGTGCTTGGCTTCAGTTTGTGGTGATTTGGGCATGTCTAAGATGCCGTGTGCCCATGTGTCTTCCATAGAGTGCCACATCATTAGTGAGAGTACCCCTCTCAGCGGTGAGTGGCTGATGGTATGGGTGGGTGAGAGCTGCCTGGGCCTGGGGCTTTGTCCCATAACGTCGTCTTTAGCCTAGCTTTCCCCTGAGCTGGAGACTCTGAGCAGCTGTGTCACCTGAGCACTGACTGACTGATTGGGAAGTCAAGCTGGATAGAGTCCATTCAGAGCCAGTTGTCCTTGCTGGGGAGGCAGGCCACAGAGGCCAGAGTATGCAGCCTGCATGCCCCATTCACGCCTGTTATGTAAACATGGTGTGTGTGTACGTGCATGTCTGTGCATGCATGTCTGTGTGTGTCTGAGTGTGTGTGGCTGTGTGTGATTGGTGGCTTAGTCAACCGGTGGAGAAGTGGGGGCCAGGGTGGTGATGTGTGGCAGTAGTTTCCGGCCTGCTACAGACCTCTCCCTTTGGTGCCAGTCACAACATTGCTTTATTATAGAGGGGCTGTGTGCCCTATTCCATGGCTCCCCGGCTCACTGCCACCGAAGCTGCCTGGCTGCTCCCCATCCCATCCCCCTCTCCTACGGAGAGAGCACAGGATGCAGTAAAATAGTAATGACACCAGGCAGTGTGCGTTATGAGATCTAGGAGCCTGGAGGCGTCAATTAATAATGCAGCAGAATCAAAGATATTGTCATGACAGTGAGCCGCCTGAGACCCCTACAGAGCTACACACTCTGGAAGTCAGCTGTGTGTTTGTTTGTATTTGTGTGTCCTCAAAGCTTTGTTTGTGTTCTGTGTCATTAAGTTTTAATTAGCCAGCCTATTGTCACAATGTCTGCTAGTTCTAGATCCGCGTGAGCTTGCCGGAGCACCTAGGCCTAATGATCAATTTTGTGAAAGGGTGTCATGGATATATTGATTTCCAATACACTCTCTTCCTCCCTCTCTTTCCTTCTTTTCTTGTATTATTTATTTTGCTCGCACTCAGGTAGCTATAAAACCTAGAGATCTCTTCCACTCACCTATTAGTAACCACCATAATACAATGGTTTCGTGTTTGATATTTGTTTAGTGACAGAAAACATATTTCCAATAGGTTTTATTGCATAATGGATGCTTAGGCAGACACAGCCTGGGTATTTTGTCTCTTCACAAACACAGTGCTTCTATCACACTGATCTATTCTAGTCTGCCTGAGACAAACCCAGAATCCCAGAAATTATTATGCCAAAATGACAGACTATTTTTAATTCATCTGTCTTTTCAAGCTCCACATAGGCTAATTTAATTCAAGGAATCATTTTCCCTCCTGCCACACCCTGATGGAGGCAGGGTCACTTTTAATAAATAATTTGCATCCCAGCAGTGTACAGCTACATCCTTTTTTAAATAAGCCCCTTCCACACACACACACACACACACACACACACACACACACACACACACACACACACACACACACACACACACACACACACACACACACACACACACACACACACACACACACACACACACACACACACACAAACACAAACACACACACACACACAAACACACTGTAATGTAGAGGATGTCACATCATTTTGCTGACATCTATTACAGTTTTTTCCAATTGCTAACACACTAAAATGACATGCACAATTATTTAAACTGACACACAGAGAGCAAAACCTCTTCTCAAGTCTCAACACATTTTCTGCTTTACACACATTTTTCAATTCAAAATGGCACTTTTTAAATGCACTGCACACGGTTCTCTGCATAAGACACAACAATCTGACATTACATTTACATTTTAGTCATTTAGCAGACGCTCTTATCCAGAGCGACTTACAGTTAGTGAATACATATTTTTTTTTATACTTGCCCCCCGTGGGAATCAAACCCACAACCCTGGCATTGCAAACGCCATGCTCTATCAACTGAGCTACATCCCTGCCGGCCATTCCCTCCCCTACCCTGGACGACGCTGGGCCAATTGTGCGCCGCCCATGAGTCTCCCGGTCGCGGCCGGCTGCGACAGAGCCTGGATTCGAACCAGGATCTCTAGTGGCACAGTTAGCACTGCGATGCAGTGCCTTAGACCACTGCGCCACTCAGGAGTACATTAGACATAAAGTCACATGTTTGCCATTTCATAACACTGCCATTCAAAATGACACTACATGAGCTAATTGGCCAGTACATGTGCCACCTGGCCAAACACCTCAATGATTAATTGTTACCACTTCAATCAGGAAGTAAGCACTATGAAAAGACCACAGGTGAGCACCTTTTGTTTTACAACAACAATGGAAGACGTTGCAGAGAGAGGAAGAGGAAGAGGAAGAGGGAGGGTGAGAATGAGAGGGGGAGGAAGAGTGAGAGGTAGGGGTAGATCTGGTAGAGGAGTACTTGGCCAAAGAAGACAACAACTTTCAAATGAAATCAGAGCAACCTTAGTTGATCATGTCATCAACCATGGGCTGACAATGCGAGAGGCTGGACAGAGAGTACAGCCCAACTTGAGCCATTTTACTGTCGCCTGTGTCGTCCGGACATTTAGACTGGAGTACAGGTATGTAACCAAAAACGTATTTCACACTATGTAGAATACCCCATGTCATAGTGTATCAGTTGGGTGACACCTGTTTACTTCATGAATGGCTGATGTCATACACTAACTGCACAAGTTTCCTGTACAATTTACTCTACTGTGGGGGAAATATCTTTAGGCTGCATTGTCCAAGCCCTATATTTTCGTTTTTTTGTTTTTCTAAAGGACTGAGAGACGCAACCATGGTGGAGGAAGGGGCAAAATGTTCACCGGGTTACAGGAAGCTGCCATTGTAAACTTGGTTTAGGAAAATAAGGAAATCAGATTCCGAGAAATTCAAAGCCACATCATCCAAGATAACACCATATTCAACAACATTCAATGAGTCAGTCTCTGTCACGATCGTCGTAGAGAGTAGACCAATGCGCAGCGTTAGTTGCGAACATACTTAACTTTATTATCTTAAGTGATAATATAACAACAAAACAATAAACGAAACGTGCAGTCCTACGGTTAACACAGAAACAACCAAACGGAAACAAGATCCCACAAACACTAAGGGAAACAGACTGTTTAAATATGGCTCCCAATCAGAGACAACCAGCAACAGCTGACACTCGTTGCCTCTGATTGGGAGCCACTCTGGCCCACATAGAAAATCAACAACTAGAACTCCCACACAGAACATAAACACATAGAATCTACACACCCTGGCTCAACATATAGAGTCCCCAGAGCCAGGGTGTGACAGTACCCCCCCCCCCAAAGGCGCGGACTGCGACCGCGCCTCAACAAAACCCAAACAGGGGAGGGCTGGGTGGGCATTCCTCCTCGGAGGCGGTTCCGGCTCCGGGCTTGACCACCACCCTTCAATAATCCCCCCGTAGCGCCCCTGGTCCGGTCTGGTCCCGCAGGCTGGAGCTGGACTGGACATCGAAGGAGCGGATTGCTTAAGCTCCATTGTGGAGCAGCTGACCGGTACCTGATCAGGCACCGGTGACCCAGGCACGGGTTGTGCCGGACTGACGATGCGCACCCCTGGCTTGGTGCGTGGAGCAGGAACGGACCGGACCGGGCTGACGATGCGCACCCCTGGCTTGGTGCGTGGAGCAGGAACGGACCGGACCGGGCTGACGATGCGCACCCCTGGCTTGGTGCGTGGAGCAGGAACGGACCGGACCGGGCTGACGATGCGCACCCCTGGCTTGGTGCGTGGAGCAGGAACGGGCTGGACCGGGCTGACGACTCGCACCCCTGGCTTGGTGCGAGTGGCAGGAACAGGCCGGGCCGGGCTGGCGACGCGCACCGTAGCTTTGGTGCGAGTGGCAGGAACAGGCCGGGCCGGGCTGGCGACGCGCACCGTAGCTTTGGTGCGAGTGGCAGGAACAGGCCGGGCCGGGCTGGCGACGCGCACCGTAGGCTTGGTGCGAGTGGCAGGAACAGGCCGGCCGGGCTGGCGACGCGCACCGTAGACTTGGTGCGAGTGGCAGGAACAGGCCGGGCCGGGCTGGCGACGCGCACCGTAGGCTTGGTGCGAGGGGCAGGAACAAGCCGGGCCGGGCTGGCGACGCGCACCGTAGGCTTGGTGCGAGTGGCAGGAACAGGCCGGGCCGGGCTGGCGACGCGCACCTTAGGCTTGGTGCGAGTGGCAGGAACAGGCCGGGCCGGGCCGGCGACGCGCACCGTAGGTTTGGTGCGAGGAGCAGGAACAGGCCGGGCCGGGCTGGCGACGCGCACCGTAGGCTTGGTGCGTGGAGCAGGAACAGGCCGGGCTGGACTGGCGACGCGCACCGTAGGCTTGGTGCGAGGGGCAGGAACAGGCCGGGCCGGGCTGGCGACGCACACCGTAGGCTTGGTGCGGGGAGCAGGAACAGGCCGGGCTGGCGACGCGCACCGTAGGCTTGGTGCGAGGAGCAGGAACAGGCCGGGCCGGGCTGGCGACGCGCACCATCCACTTAGTGCGGGGAGCAGGAACGGGCCGGACCGGACTGGTGACGCACACCACTTGCTTGGTGTGAGGAGCGGGACTGGGTTTCGTCATAACCCTCCGCTCCCTCAGCTGCCTACCGAGTTCCTCTCGCCGTGCCTCAATTCTCACCTTCTCCCTTATCGCCTCCAATAGCTCCACCCTCTGCACCACTAACTCCTGCTCCCTCTGCGCCAATAGCCCCCTTAACCTGGTGGCCTCCTCACCTAACCTCCTACTACGCCCTGTAGCTGCCTCCTGCTGCCCTGTCGCCCATGCCGTATGCCCCCCCCCCAAAACATTTTTGGGGTTGCCTCTCGTCCGTCCGACGACGACACTGTTGACACCGTTGCTCCTATCTCCGTCGCGCCTCTACCGTCTCACTCCATGGACGGCAGTCCATCCCGGGCCTGGATTTCCTCCCAGGTCCAGGACCCCTGCCCGTCCAATATTTGCTCCCACGTCCAGGCTGCCTGCTCCTGGACACGCTGCTTGGTCCTGGTATGGTGGGATCTTCTGTCACGATCGTCGTAGAGAGTAGACCAATGCGCAGCGTTAGTTGCGAACATACTTAACTTTATTATCTTAAGTGATAATATAACAACAAAACAATAAACGAAACGTGCAGTCCTACGGTTAACACAGAAACAACCAAACTGAAACAAGATCCCACAAAAACTAAGGGAAACAGACTGTTTAAATATGGCTCCCAATCAGAGACAACCAGCAACAGCTGACACTCGTTGCCTCTGATTGGGAGCCACTCTGGCCCACATAGAAAATCAACAACTAGAACTCCCACACAGAACATAAACACATAGAATCTACACACCCTGGCTCAACATATAGAGTCCCCAGAGCCAGGGTGTGACAGTCTGTCCACATTGGCTCGCATTCTCAAGCGAAACCAAATCAGAATGAAACAACTTTATAAGGTGCCGTTTGAGAGAAACTCTCAAATAAATAAAGAGGTCAGACGAGCATATGTGGATGTAAGTACAATATTGACTGCAGTACACTACACGCAACATTGTTTCCCAGTGTACTGGATAACACCATATTGACTGCTTTTGTTCTTTGTTTTCAGGGAGTACTGGAAATGGATGCTCATGCAATCCCACATGAGTTCATCTTTATAGATGAGGCTGGGTTCAACCTAGCAAAGACCAGAAGAAGGGGGAGAAACATCATTGGCCACAGAGCCATTATAGATGTTCCTGGCCAACGTGGTGGGAACATCACAATGTGCACTGCCATCTCCAATACGCATGGTGTCCTCCACCGTCATGCCAACCTTGGACCATACAACACAGCCCATATTCTCAAATTTCTGGACAGACTCCACAACATTCTCATACCACCAGAGCATATGAATGATGCAGACCATCAAAGAACCCAGTACGTTGTAGTATGGGACAACGTGAGCTTTCATCGTGCAGCCCCAGTCCAAAACTGGTTTGCTGACCACCCACCATTTCTCGTGCAATACCTCCCACCATACTCACCATTTCTGAACCCCATAGAAGAGTTCTTTTCGGCATGGCGGTGGAAGGTATACGACCGGCAGCCCTTTGTGCGCATGCCTCTTGTGCAGGCTATGGAAGAGGCATGTGATGAGATTGATGTGGGTGCGATTCAGGGATGGATAAGGCACTCAAGGCGCTTCTTCCCTCGATGTCTGGCAAGGGAAGATATTGCCTGTGATGTGGACGAGGCGTTGTGGCCAGACCCAGCTGTGCGGCAAGATGCTGCCTAATTATTTTTCTTGCCTCTTTTTTTTCTATATATTTTTTCTGCACATTTTTTCTGCAATTTTCTTTTTCAGTTTACTGTTTTTTGTGAGCATATTTTTGTTCAGTCCAATGTAAATATATCTGCTGTGCATATGTTGCACTGACTTGTTTGGTGAAAAATTAAAATTAAAATGTTTCAACAGCATGTGTGTGTATCTGCAAATATTTCTGTGCATGTGAACAATCTGAAGAATTTTCTACAATTTGAACTATTTTAGTATTATGGCAAAGCATACTAAAGAGGAGAGTGCTTTTCATCATGCCCAACAGTGTGTATGTAGTTGGTTTGACACAAATCTGGTAATATGAATGAAGTGATTGTAAGTCGCTCTGGATAAGAGCGTCTGCTAAATGACAAAAAAAAAGAAGAAAAAAAAAGAAAGAAGTGTGTGCCATTTCATGCAAACGTTTGATTTTGATAATGCTATATGTAGTTTTGGTTGCAGTGCTTCATTTTGCAGGATATATGAGGTCTTTTCCAGTTTGGGTGTGTGGTTTTGTGAATTGTGTTAAGTATTTTGAAAAAAACAGCCTAGTTTGCAAAATTGTGTTTTAGCAATTGGGAAAAACTGTAATGACATAATGTAGCAACAGGCAAATTGAAGTGTGTGTGTGTGCGTGTGTGCGTGTGTGTGATGGGGAGGCCATGCGTAGCTAGTGTGTGTTGGCTGTGAGTGCTCCTCAGATGACCTGAAATTGCCTGGCTGATTGAACAAGCATGTCCAATTGCACTTTTTCCTCCTCCCTGGTGTATGATGTGTGTCCTGCTGCGTGTGCATCCACAAAAACAACATCTCAACACAGTTCCCAGTACAGTGAATCATTCATGTTTCAGCTGTCTGCATCCTCAGGTATCTTACATAACTGGGATGGGGCTATAGTAGCATGCATGCAGCCCATGCAGCCATGCACATTGATGTCTATAGGCCTATACTACCCCCACTATCCAAAGGTGGGAATAAAACATTCTGTATAAGGTTATCTGTATAAGCTTAATAGTGTGATTTTGTCATCCAGTTAAATGGACAAATTGAAAAATTACTACACTTAGTCATAATTCACCTTGACTTATAATTATGTATGTCTTGGGTGTGTGTGATCATGCCTGTGTTGGTCTGTTTCAGAGTGCACTCCAGAGCTCCCCCTGGGGGCTGATGCTGGCACTGGAACAGCAGGTGGGCGAGCTGAGAGTGGACACAGATTATGTCACCTATGAGGGGACCCAAGGGGACACGGGGGACAGTCGGCCCAGCTCAGGTACTCCTCATGCTACCACCTTTCAATTCTCTGACCTCTGAACTTTAACCCCTGAACCACATCAGAGGGGCATGGGGTACTTATATTTTTCTTAATGCAGACACTGTAATGTAACTTCTTTTTTTGTGTGTTTGACCCATGTTCTGTATATTTTCTGTATACTCTTTTTACATAAATTGTGGCCCTATATTTCACTGAAGTACATATATAATGACTAACATTTCATTAATTTTGACAAATGTTGTTTTCATGCCCTTCTTGCTACTGTTAGTGGTTCTGTGGTTTGTGAAAGAGCCAAAACGTTGGAAATGAGTTTTGTCAGCATATGGTTTGAGAAAGCCTGATAGAGATCTAATGAGTGACATCATCTGTGTTTCCCAGGGTTCTATGAGTCGAGTGAGGGCCAGTCTCCAAAGGGGCATTCCTGTCGCTCTGACTTCCCAGAGCCCCCCACTGGCTGGGGCTTCAGCAGCACCGAGAGGCCCAAGTCTCTGGGTGAGTTCAGCTCCACTCTCACTATCAACAGCTCTCTTTCAACCACAATAGGGTTCATGGTATCGTAGAAACAATACCATGGACTGTCTTTACTTTATTACATCATTATTATAGCTGCATTAAGTACTGGTATCAGTAGTAAAAGAAACATGTCAATTTATCAATTGACTTCTCTCTGTGCTCTCTGTCTACAGGATATGCCCTCCAGCTGACAGGTGAGAGTCTGATGGAGCCAGCCCCTCGTGCCACTGTTCCCCTCTCCTTCTCCGCCCCCTACCCACCCCTGGAGGGCATCGCTGAGGAGGGTATGGCCGAGGAGCCCTGGCAGTGGGACCCACACTGTGCCCAGGGTTGGGAGGACCAGGATCAGGCCACTGAGGAGGACTTCCAGCAGGCCCTGAGGGTAGAAGGCTACATCCTGGGTCTCATCCATCGCTATGCGCTCTCAGCCCGGCCCTGCATGCCTTGTGCCAGCCTGGAGCCTGACCCCTCCACCTCCTCCTCCTCCAGCGTCAACAGGCAGAGCAGTCTGCGAAGGAAACCCCCTTTTCACACCCCAGAGCACTGCATCCCTGACCCACAGGACCTCTACCCTGACCCTGAGTGCCAGGCCTGGTGGTGTGACCCTCTAGACAGGGAGGAATGGGGGGGAGAGGCCCCATCCATGGAGGAGGACTGTTATCGGTCTTTACCCTACCCCCACTCCAGACCCCACTCCCTGGCCGGGGGCCATCCACCCTCCCTGGACCCCCCTTGTGGAGATCTGGATCCTTGTTTTAGTAGTGAGTCTGATTCCCTCAGGCACTACCCGCTGCCCCACTTCCCGGCTTCATATAACCACCTGGTCAGTTCCCAGTACATCCCTGGGCAGCCCTGCCACACCCCTGTACGCTCCCCCTCACACTTTCCTCCAGAACGATCCCCCCCACACTATCTTCCAGAGCCCTCCAAGCCCAGCCGAACCTTTGTGTGCCCAGACCAAAGCAGCTCAAAGCTCAGGGCCACGGGGAAGAAGAGCCATGAGGAGAGACAGAGTTCCAAGAAGCCTGGCCACAAGACCTGCCGCTCCCAGTCTGAGAACAGTCTGATGGGGCAGAGGGCTCTCCCTAATCACAGGTACAGCACAGCCGAGCGCCCCCAGCACCAGAGGGGCCAGGTCCCTCACGCAGGCCCCCAGCACAGTAACACCGCTGGGGGGCGACGCTGGTGCTCCACACTGGAGCTCAGCCAGGAGAAAGGGGAGATCCAGAGTGAGCAGGCCCGCAGACGCCCACCTCGTAGAGCCCGCCACACCCAGGCCTGCTCTCATCCCAACCCCAACCAACACTTCCAGGTCCATGCCCAGCCTCGTCTCTCAGAATACCCAGAGAGAGCACCTCTTTGTCGGGGAGAGGAGGGCTATGTGCGGACCGCCCCTGGGGAGTCAGAATCCAGCATGAGTGAGGTGTACTCCCCTGCCTCCAGCTCTCTCTCCAGTGACTCCGATGAGGGGGGGCTGGTGTGGCCCCAGCAGCTGCCCCCTCGCCTGGCCCCCTCCGCTTCCTCCTCTTCCTCCTCTCCTAAGGCCTCGTCAGAGGCCTCCGCGCAGCCCAAGGCCTTTGTCAAAATCAAAGCATCTCACGCCCTGAAGAAGAAGATTCTGCGATTCCATGCCGGCTCTCTCAAAGTCATGACCACAGTCTGAAAATATGTCTGTTACTGCTTCTACTGCCCATATCCTGCACAGTCTGATGGTTCATCCTACATCACCTACAGTTTACACTCTCTGTCTACCTCTGCTAGTCCGTGCAGCATTGTCATATAATCAGAAGCTATTTTACTTCAGAAAAACTTAGATGTCTGTTACTGGCCTAAGATCATCATCATGATATCATCTAGCTAAACCACATTACACCATCATCAGACTGTGCATTAACTATGAATAAACCATTAATTTGTCTAATGAAAGTCATCCTCTGATGATAACACTGCCATGTCACATATGGACACCTGAAAGTGAACTGCTACCTCTCTTCTCTCAGCTGCACCACCTTGCAGCATGGACCTGAAGCCCATGTCTGTAGCACTGGCCCTTTAGGGTGCGACTGCAGTGAGGGGTCAACACACACACTTCTGTAAATACCTACCTGTGGCCTTGTTTGTATGAACGTAGTTTGTAAATAAAGATGTTGTGGTCTCTTAGGCCATGTGTTTCGTTTGACACTTTCTAGTATTCAACCTGGAATGGTGGACTCAAGAATGCCTACTGGATATATTTTCAGATCTGATTGGTCAAAAGACCAATTAGCAAAAAAAAGGATCAAAATTGAGCTGTGTAGACATAGCCTCTCCCTGGCAACCTAAACTGTTTTCAGTGTGCAACATTGTATAACAGAATGTGTACATCACTGTCGCCCCCCTGGGGTGTATCAGTAAAACTGCCTTAAACTTACAGCAAGAATTGCATAACTTTGCTCCAAACATCTGCTGCCGCATATTTTCATGGACCAAGTTATGAAAAAGTTGTTCATTCTGAGATTTTATAACATTATTCCATCACTTTGTGTATGATTGAGAGTATGGTATAAAATGCTAACCCTAACACGGGCCTTACCCTTTTTATTTAGATTATTGTTTTTTATGTCCCAAGGTTGAACCCCCTCATCTTTAGGCAAGCACAGAGCACAGAGATTGTGAATGATAAACAATTTGGTCACACTTTATGCTCTACACATTGTCATACTATCAACAAACTATCTGTTGATAAGCAAATGCCTGCTAAGCTTACGGTTAGGTTTAGAATAAGGGTTATGTTAAGGTTAGGGCTAGGGTTAGGGTAATGGTTAATTTTAAGTCAAGTATAAGGGTTAAGGTTAGGATTAGTAGATAGTTAGTTTAAATGTTACTGATAGTCTGTAGAGCATCTACAGTGGGGAGAACAAGTATCTGATACACTGCCGATTTTGCAGGTTTTCCTACTTACAAAGCATGTAGAGGTCTGTAATTTTTATCATAGGTACACTTCAACTGTGAGAGACGGAATCTAAAACAAAAATTCAGAAAATCACATTGTATGATTTTTAAGTAATTAATTTGCATTTTATTGCATGACATAAGTATTTGATCACCTACCAACCAGTAAGAATTCCGGCTCTCACAGACCAGTTAGTTTTTCTTTAAGAAGCCCTCCTGTTCTCCACTCATTACCTGTATTAACTGCACCTGTTTTAACTCGTTACCTGTATAAAAGACACCTGTACAAACACTCAATCAAACAGACTCCAACCTCTCCACAATGGCCAAGACCAGAGAGCTGTGTAAGGGCATCAGGGATAAAATTGTAGACCTGCACAAGGCTGGGATGGGCCACAGGATAATAGGCAAGCAGCTTGGTGAGAAGGCAACAACTGTTGGCGCAATTATTAGAAAATGGAAGAAGTTCAAGATGACGGTCAATCACCCTCGGTCTGGGGCTCCATGCAAGATCTCACCTCATGGGGCATCAATGATCATGAGGAAGGTGAGGGATCAGCCCAGAACTACACGGCAGGACCTGGTCAATGACCTGAAGAGAGCTGGGACCACAGTCTCAAAGAAAACCATTAGTAACACACTACGCCGTCATGGATTAAAATCCTGCAGCGCACGCAAGGTCACCCTGCTCAAGCCAGCGCATGTCCAGGCCCGTCTGAAGTTTGCCAATGACCATCTGGATGATCCAGAGGAGGAATGGGAGAAGGTCATGTGGTCTGATGAGACAAAAATATAGCTTTTTGATCTAAACTCCACTCGCTGTGTTTGGAGGAAGAAGAAGGATGAGTACAACCCCAAGAACACCATCCCAACCGTGAAGCATGGAGGTGGAAACATCATTCTTTGGGGATGCTTTTCTGCAAAGGGGACAGGACGACTGCACCGTATTGAGGGGAGGATGGATGGGGCCATGTATCGCGAGATCTTGGCCAACAACCTCCTTCCCTCAGTAAGAGCATTGAAGAACGACCCGAAACACACAGCCAGGGCAACTAAGGAGTGGCTCCGTAAGAAGCATCTCAAGGTCCTGGAGTGGCCTAGCCAGTCTCCAGACCTGAACCCAATAGAAACTCTTTGGAGGGAGCTGAAAGTCCGTATTGCCCAGCGACAGCCTCGAAACCTGAAGGATCTGGAGAAGGTCTGTATGGAGGAGTGGGCCAAAATCCCTGCTGCAGTGTGTGCAAACCTGGTCAAGACCTACAGGAATCGTATGATCTCTGTAATTGCAAACAAAGGTTTCTGTACCAAATATTAAGTTCTGCTTTTCTGATGTATCAAATACTGTATGTATATGTACTGTCATGCAATAAAATGCAAATTAATTACTTAAAAATCATACAATGTCACAGTTGAAGTGTACCTATGCTAAAAATTACAGACCTCTACATGCTTTGTAAGTAGGAAAACCTGCAAAATCGGCAGTGTATCAAATACTTGTTCTCCCCACTGTACATATGGACTATCCAAATAAAGTGTTATCAACAACTTCAAAGTGACACCAGTGAACTGTATTTTTTAGGGAATGCAGGGGTGGTTTATTGAGAAAGTGGCACTGTTGATGACCACAGATGATATGTGAAAGTCAATGTCCGCTTTAGGTATAATGCCAGGAGCCGCTTGTGGATTTGACAGCTCTAACACAGCTCCACTTCCAACACCGCCAAAAATACCGCTATGGGGATGGCGGCTAAAGCGGATCTGATTGAATAGAGCCTTTAAATACAGAAAAAGCCAAATGTAATTGCACAAGTATGATTGCTGGTGGAAACATATTGCAGAGAGGGCAGAAGTTACTGTAGTGTTGCACAACACTGGATTCAAATCACATCTCTTTTCTTTTATATATCTATACAACGGCTTGCGAAAGCATTCACTCCCCTTGGCATTTTTCCTGTTTTGTTGCCTTACAACCTGGAAATAAAATGGATTTTTGGGGGAGTTTATAATTTGATTTATACAACATGCCTACCACTTTGAAGATGCAAAATATTTTTTATTGTGAAACAAACAAGAAATGAGACCAAAAAAAACATGAAACCTTGAGCGTGCATAACTATTCACCCCCCCCCAAAGTCAATAATTTGTAGAGCCACCTTTTGCAGCAATTACAGCTGCAAGTCTCTTGGGGTATGTCTCTATAAGCTTGGCACATCCAGCCACTGGGAATTTTGCCCATTCTTCAAGGCAAAACTGCTCCAGCTCCTTCAAGTTGGATGGGTTCCACTGGGGTGTACAGCAATCTTTAAGTCATACCACAGATTCAAAATTGGATTGAGGTCTGGGCTTTGACTAGGCCATTTCAAGACATGTAAATGTTTCCCCTTAAACTACTCGAGTGTTGCTTTCGCAGTATGCTAAGTGTCATTGTCCTGCTGGAAGGTGAACCGCCGTCCCAGTCTCAAATCTCTGGAAGACTGAAACAGGTTTCCCTCAAGAATTTCCCTGTATTTAGCGCCATCCATCATTCCTTCAATTCTGACCATTTTCCCAGTCCCTGCCAATGAAACACATCCCCACAGCATGATGCTGCCACCACCATGCTTCACCGTGTGGATGGTGTTCTCGGGGTGATAAGAGGTGTTGGGTTTGCCCCAGACATAGCATTTTCCTTGATGGCCAAAAAGTTTGCTATATGATGAATAACACAGCAGAAGAGGCCCCATATGTTTGGGGAGTCTCCCACATGGTTTTTGGTGAATACCAAACGTGTTTGTTTATTTATTTCTTTAAGCAATGGCTTTTTTCTGGCCACTCTTCAGTAAAGCCCAGCTCTTTGGTCTCTTTGTTGCCTGTCTGATTAATGCCCTTCTTGCCTCATCTGTGAGTTTTGGTGTGCGGCCCTCTCTTGGCAGGTTTGTTGTAGTGCCATATTCTTTCAATTTTTTAATAATGGATTTAATGGTGCTCCGTGGGATGTTCAAAGTTTTTTTTTTTATAACCCAACCCTGATCTGTACTTCTCCACAACTTTGTCCCTGACCTTTTTGGAGAGCTCCTTGGTCTTCATGGTGCTTGGTGGTGCCCCTTGCTTAGTGGTGTTGTAGACTCTGGGGCCTTTCAGAACAGGTGTATATATCAAATCAAATCAAATCAAATCAAATTTTATTGGTCACATGCGCCGAATACAACAGGTGCAGACATTACAGTGAAATGCTTACTTACAGCCCTTAACCAACAGTGCATTTATTTTAAACAAAAAAGTAAGAATAAAACAACAACAAAAAAGTGTTGAGAAAAAAAGAGCAGAAGTAAAAATAAAGTGACAGTAGGGAGGCTATATATACAATAGAATAAAGTGACAGTAGGGAGGCTATATATACAGGGGGGTACCGTTGCATAGTCAATGTGCGGGGGCACCGGCTAGTTGAGGTAGTTGAGGTAATATGTACATGTGGGTAGAGTTAAAGTGACTATGCATAAATACTTAACAGAGTAGCAGCAGCGTAAAAAGTATGGGGTGGGGGGGCAGTGCAAATAGTCCGGGTAGCCATGATTAGCTGTTCAGGAGTCTTATGGCTTGGGGGTAGAAGCTGTTGAGAAGTCTTTTGGACCTAGACTTGGCACTCCGGTACCGCTTGCCGTGCGGTAGCAGAGAGAACAGTCTATGACTAGGGTGACTGGAGTCTTTGACAATTTTGAGGGCCTTCCTCTGACACCGCCTGGTATAGAGGTC